GCCTTACCCTGTAGGCGACTCGACAGCGCCACTCGCTGGGCAACCGTTGAAACGGCGGCCCCGCGCGGCCCCCGCGCAGCCTCCGCGGCCCGCCTGCGCCAGCTTTAGGGAACGAACCGGCTTAGAGGCTAGGAGGTGGCGAGCGTATAAAGCCTGACATACACGGGTGACCACCCCTTGCCTGCCGCCCTGGGGAACAGTGGCTGTTGGGCTCCATCACAAGCTCCTGCTGGCTACCTTTTGGGGGGAAACAAGGTTACATTGGACATTTAAGTTCTGTGCACCCATGTTACAGTACTGTGAGCTGGGCTGCAAAATTAGAAGTTGGTAAAAGACTGGGTGACCCTGTTTCAGCCCATGCTGGTGCACATGTGCAGGTTCTGAGACCCTTCCCAGGTTGTCCCCATCTGGTGGCCAAGCCCAGGTCCATTCTTGCTTTGCCCAAGGGGGGTTCATCCCAAGGGATGCTGACCGAGGTCACCCCAGCAGAGCTGCGGGCTCAGTGAAGAGCACAGGAGGCACAAAGCGCCCTGGCAGCTGAGGTGCTCGCCAGCTGGGCTCCAAACGGGTGGCAGCTCTCAGCTGTCGTCTCTGCGTGCCGCAACTCCTCCTCTGCACACTAACAATACCTCCCACTGCCTCCCCGAGTTATCCTCATCCTGACCCCCTTTGCACAGAGCAGCAGGTAGCAAACACGAAACTGGGTGCTGAACTAAACCTCACGTTCAGTGAACACTGCCCATTCTATGCATGCAGTGAAGCAGGAGCCTTCTGATAAAGAGTCTGTAATCATGGAATGAAGAACTGTCACATTATGCCTGTGCAAAAGGGAGCGATTGAAGGAGGAGCAGGAAATATTAACTTTGACGGCTTGCCTTTCCATTGCTTGCTTGATGCCGCTGCCATAACAGTGCTCTTTGCATCTCAGTAATGGCCACAAACACAGTAAAGAGTGAAAGCAGAACACACTATGGTGGGGTGAAGTGATAAAATAACTTTATCTAGAGCAGCTTTGGGTCCTTTGCATGACGTATTTGTAGCACATGAAAATTTGCACATAATTAAACACAAATTTAGCAACTGTCCGCATAGGTTCCAAGTGAGTTGTCTCTAAGCAATGGGATATTCAGCTTAAAATTGTTAAAAATACTCCATTTCTAGCTGTGGTGGTCCATCAGTATTGCACATATATCCTGGTATATATCTAGGAACAAGTATTTAGAGCTGGCTGCAAAGGAAACGCTCTTTAATGTTTGACAAACAAGCAGTTGTGCTTGTTTGAAGCTGGTCATCAACTTGGAAGACAAAAGCAGTCCCTGAATAGGGATTCACTAGTGCAGGTGCACTGCTCAAATGTGAATGACAGAGGAAATTTATTACAGGATATAAAAACTTCACCATGATGATAGGACTGGTCAAAGCAAAAACTAACACCTTCTGGAAAAAAAACAAACCAAACAACATTCCAGACTTCCTTTCCGATTTAAATCTCAAACTATTTCAAACAGCTAAAATAAAATGTGGGGCAGCTAGCATGAGACTTATGTAGGTAAAAAAATTTTTACTTAAAAATCTTTATTTTTTTCATCTTGACATTTCATCAATATTTAGATTTTGGAAATAAAATTCAGTACTGCTAACCATGCAATAGAAAGAGGTGTGTCTATGTTTTTGTTGTGTTAGAATATATGTTTTCTGTTTTCTTGGACTAGTTCACCCCATTTGCTAACCTGAGACTCATGTTGAGTAGTAAGAAAATACTTTAATCAGACAGAATCAATACAATAATGATAATGGTTTCTCTGCCGGATCAGGTTCTCATTCACTAATTTCATGATGCAGCAAGTGTATCTTATGCTTAAAACCTGGCATGCTGGTGGGAAACATCCTGATCCTTTAAAGATACTACTGCAGGAAAACCCAGTTGAAACAACAGAATACATATTCAAGCAAGGACTGCTTAAGTGAGTAAGGCTTTGAGTCATTAAAGCCCAGAAGGACTGTAAAAGAGGAGGAAGTTGTTTCATAGATGCCTGGTAGCGGAAGATGTAAATACATAATAACCCAGGCGAACAGGCTGGTTTTGTGGATCATATGCACAGCAGTTGTGCTAAATTGGGTGGGGTTATTTTGAACAAAAACAGAGGATGCATGTGGAGAGCTTGGAAACACAGATGCTCTGGAGCAGGATGTCAGGGTGGGTATATGGAATCGCAGGGCTGCAAAACAGTGTTTGTTCTCCACCTGAACCCAAAGTGGAGTATTTTAACATTAAAAAGAGTGAGCTTTCTGCGGTGTGGCAGCAGTGTGTGTGATGCAAGAGATAGTGACACAGTCACCACTGAGCCAGGGCAGCTACTTCTGGGTGGCAGGTTCCCTTGCACCATACTTGCTTCCCTTGTCAGATGCAGGAAGGCACATTTCAGGCTATTCTCTTTGATGCTCTGATTGTCATCTGCTGCATAGCAAACACAACAAGCTGCAGAGAGCAGTTTCAACCCTGGCTCGAGTTCTACTTGTCATAACAGGGGTCTGAGAGCCTGCTGAAGCCGTGAGGCTGGGGGAGCTGTGAGTCCCCATCCCAGGGGCATGTTGGATGTTCATATCTTCTACCATGCTTCATCTCGATTAAGGTACGACGAAACGCGGCCTTAAACCTCAAACACGCCAAGGGGTAACTTGATATAAATGTGCAGCTGCAATGATCTCCTGAAAGGGGGTGAGTTGCACATTTTGCAATTAGGGTGAGCTAATTGTATGTGTACAGGCAGTTGCCACGGCTTAGCTGATGGGTGGTAACTTATTAAACCACAGTAATCTGAGTGCTTCGAGTCATGAAACCATACCCAAAGTGTTTGCAGACTCAGGGCCTGAGAATCCGCTGCCCTCCCATTCCTTTGCACCGTCATCTCAAGGACAAGGAAAGGGATTGAAAACCTGGCCTGTACAGTCCAATGAGAGATGAAGTTTCCCAAGGGATTCTTAAATTTCTACCCAGAATTTCAAAGAATTTAACAATGTTTTCTTTTTAAATGACCTTGAATAAAAATATTCATTTTAAGTGGGATATTTGGGAAAGAAAGAGTTCTGGAAATTTTCAACATAAACATTAATTCTTGTAAAAAACCATAAAGAGCTATATTCAGAAGGCCTGAATTTCCCCTAAGTCTCTGGGTCTAGTGTTTCTTACCTGCTAGGGTAAGAGCCATTCAGAAGGGAGCCTGCCCAATTTGGTGGAACTGTGGCCAGAGTACTTTTCTAGACACAATGTACTTTTAATCTATATAGTACTTGCTAGTTTCCTAGAAGCTTGAAGAGAAACTTGCGCACCAAAAGCTTTCATTCCTCTGTACCTGGTCATGAATTTTGTGTGCACATGCATGAGACTGGGTGAAGAGAGTTGAAATCAGCTTGGGTTGTTTTTTTTCACAGACTTTCCAATGCCAACCCTGTTAGCAACCCTGATGATGAGAGCTTTGACCTGGAGAGCATAGCTCAGATTCTAGCCCTGGTGAAGTCAGTGGGATTTCGCTATTCATCTTCAGACCAAGATTTCAATGCACTAAGCTGGATACAAGTGAGGTGTATAAAGAGCCCTTGGGGAAGCTCTTCTTTTTAATGAAACTGGAGATAAACTGATTTGTGCTCAGGGCTAATGCCTTGCTGAAGGAGCTGGAGCACAAACCCTGTAATAGGGTGCTTGTTTGTGAGAGCAGATTGAGTAAACTAATAGAAACAAGTGTAGAAAGCCAGGAAATGACCTCCCTAAATGCTGGGAAATAAAGAAACAGCCACTTGCAACCTGCGTGAGAGGGGTCTGGGCTTCGGTGGGTGGCTGTCACACCAAAGCAGGTGGGAGGGAGCGATGCACCACTCTGCACTCTGCAAAGCAGAGGAGCCTCAGAACTGCAGCTGCCTTCACCCAGGTTTCCTCCCCTGACCTCTCTGCTGCCCATGTATCTCTCCTCCAAGTGGATAACATCTGAAAAAATAGACAAAACCCTCGTTTCACAAGACTTTTTCAAGCCTCTGCCCCATCACTATGAAGGGTGATGCCAACAAGAGTAGATACACACTCACTAACACCTGTGTGGGGGTGTGTATAACGTTTGTGTGCATCCCCTCTGCCTGTTTGCTGCCTGACGTTATGCTCAGTGTTGCTCTGGAGATCACAACATTCCAACAAACACCACCATGTTCTGTTCCCAAGGGAGCTCTTTTTGCTCTTCCCTTGAGGGAGGGAGTCACACTTACAAGAAAAAAGGGAGATATCTGGTGCTTGCCTGACCATCATGGTTTTATTTCCCATTTCTAAATGAATTCTAAGCTGAGACATCCCATGCAAAATTTCAACCCAGGGCAGTTGTCTGCATCCACACTAAGAACTAGTGAATAAGTGTTTTGAGGTAGCCTTAATTATAGCTGTGAGAATGACACCAGTGTAACATTTAAAGTGTGAACATAAAATATGGCAAATCAATCAGAGTATGGAACCACAACTTGGAAAGTATTCAGCTGATGATGTTCATGATCACACATTAAAAAAAAAAAAAAAAAAAAAAAAAAGAAAAGAAAGAAAAGAAAGAAGAAAAAAAATCACACATGGAAATTCACTCCTCCAGCCAATGGAAAGAGATACTTTTCTATCTCATAGCCTACAAAATTCCCTCACCTACTACCCAAATCTCAGTTAAAAGGAGCTTAATTTACCCCTTTGAAGAAAAAAAAATGTTTTGCAAGCCGTTATTGCTGCTCAGCAATCACACAGACATTAAATCTTATTGCAGAAAGAGGGGGAGAATGCCTCTTCTCAGCATTACAGCTGCAGCTGTTTGACAGAAGTAAGTGACTTCATAAACCCTCCTGATTTGGCAGTAGGGGAGTGGAGTTTTATGCCGTCTGCTGCACAGTCACAGGGGCTGAGAAAGCTCTGCAAAGCAGTCTTTACAAATGTTTCACCTCAGTTTATAAATACCTTTGCTTCACAGTGTTAATGCCTCTTTTGCTTTGCTTTCCATTCACCTCCGCTGGATCATCCACCAAGGCCTTTTATTGGTTTCAAGTGATTGATCCCACTGGTCCCACATATTTTTCTTCTTTTTTACTTTTTTTTTGCTTCTCTGAACAGAAGATACTGCACCTTCACCTTTCCACTGGTTTCTTGGCTTATTATGGTAAGATGTAGTTAGGATTTAGCAGGCTGTCCTCATTCGCAGTATAACCAGGCTGTACACCTTCTCACAAGAGTCTATACTTGAACACCATATTTTCTTTGTCTCTCTCTCGTGTCCACTCCATAATGAATTACTTGAAAACACATTTTATTGGACTGTGATGAAAAAGTAGATTTCTGACGGTTGTCTTCTCAGCCTCCACTTTTCTGTATTCATTTTGAGACCTTATTATTGAAGAATTAATTCCTGTTTCTCCAGAGCAACTTCTGGAGAAGTTCCCAGCTATGATTAACATGACTTTGGTATGAGTTTGGTATGAGAAGGCTATTCAGGACTTTGCAGGAACACCATTTCCATTGGGAAGTCTTCCTTGATGTAAAGTCAGCAGGAACTCTTGCTACAGTAAAATCTCCACGATTCACCTTTCACGCTATCTATTATTTTTATAGGACCATTACAGCTCATAGGCCTTGCTCCTTCCTTAGCCAAGCAGCCTGCTGTTTCATATTGCCAGAAGATCTTGCTGGATTTGTCTCAGAGCAGACAGGACTGGGATGCAAGAATCTGAAGCAAAAGCTGCCAGTGAACAAATGAGTTTCTCAATAATGGTCTTCAAACACTGGTGGGCTTCACGTAAGTCTCTGTCAAATTGTTGTCCCTCTCTTTGTAAAACCATACGTGTACAGATGTTTCGAAATTCAATGCTATCCTAAAAGCAAAAGCAAAAAGAAGTGAGTTAAAAATAATGCTCCCCAAGATTTCTAGTTTTTTAGATTTTTTTTTTTAAGCAGAAACTTCTTAATCGTAACTGTCCATCTCTGATTTAGTGGGAAACATCTTCAGTTTTGAGATACATGTAGTGTAACCATTAAATACCACTGCAAGCTGTCTTGGCAGTTAGCTTTGAGTTGCAATTTCACCTACTCACTTTAAAGAGGCACTTTATTCCACAAGCATCAGCAATTAATGTTTGTTTTTTATTATTCTGTTTCTACCAGAGAGGCCTTTTGTAGCTGTTCTCAAGCAATTAAACTCCCTCTTCCCTGACAGGGAAGGGTATCACATCAGGGAAATGCTACATCCAGATGTCTAGGGAGAGCTCCCGATGGCTCCCAAGGTGACTTTGCGAAGCAACCCTTGCAGAAGCATCACTTCCATGCAGTGTCCCTCATCTGTGATGTGACTGGGATCACAAGTGAGGCAGGTAACTTTGACAGCTCTGCTGGCCACATACTGTAATACGTTGTGAAGTCTTCCCAGTCCTTCAGATATAGCATGGATTGCTGAACAAGAAGTGGTGCTTTAACACCTGTCTGCACTATGGAAATTCTCTCCAAGGGCAAATGCAGTCAAACCAACATCATATATTGCAGGGGTAACCTAAGAGAGGCGTGGAAGCAGATGGCGGAAGCAGAACTTTAACTTGTAATGGCTCCCCAGCCTGGTTTTCTCTAAGAAATGGCTGTGTCAGCACAAAGCAAGGAACATCTCAGTGCTTGGATTGACAACCTGAGGATCTTTCTAATCAGCAGGATCAACCACTGTCATCCTAAAATTTATTTTCAAATGCAGCCTCTGTCAGCCTGTGCCTTCATGAGGTCTCACGAGAAACGAACACTCCAGGACAAGCTGCAGGGGACGGGGGAACCTTCTCTTGTACCTTGTGGTATACACCAGATTTTGGCTCCTCTTACCTCCTTCACTTGTTGTATTTACTCTTTTAGTTAGTAGCAGCCTGTGCTTTTAGCTGAGAGGAAATTGAGTTTTAATGTTATCCTTAAAAGCATGAAGGTTCAGACTTATTGTCGGTTTAACCTTTGTTATTAAAAACAACAAAGAAACCAATAAGAAGAACTCCATTTCACCAAGACAATCACAGCTTCATAATGGGAACAGAACAAAGGATTGGCAGTTGAAGGTTTAAAATATGGGTTAACATCAAAAGCAGTGGTGCATGAGTGCCCCAGCTAGCAAATAAAAGGCATTCATTATGGAAATACTGAAACTAGCCATCCAGTACCATTCTTGGGCCTTTAGGTATTGTATGATAGCAGTTGTGGGTTTGCTGTGGGCAAGGTGAACTCACTGCTCTGGTACACTCCTGTGCCAAAAAGCCAGTGAGTCCTGAGTCAGGAGGTTAGCTGAAAAGCAGCCTTTTTCACATATAATTCCAAAGTTTCCCTTTTCAGAAAGATTTTGATGTTTCCTTTGAAGGTCACCTTTCAAATCTGTTCTGTAAAGTTGCCTTAGGTATAAAATCCTTACTCAAATATATTAAAAGGTCAAATAAATTGCACTAAGTAAACAAGCTAGCTTTGCTAGCTTTTGCAGGTGTCCAGCACATGGGAACTTCAGGATACATGACAGAGAACAAAAACTTGACTTATCTGTCTCCTTTCAGTACAAGTGTGCAGTAACTAACTGAAGGAAAAGAAAAAGTTTCAGACCAGAATTTTTTCCATTTTAACTTCAGGAAATAGGGCCCTTGTGAGCTGAACTGATAAAGAGCAACTGTTCCTGCAGTACTTTCCCATTTAAGAGAAGGTAACAGGAATATTTGCAGTGATTTGATTTTAAGTGTTTTCAATTGCAGGACAGGAGTAGGATCCTCCCTGCAGCTTTCCTTTGTCAAGATCCATATGTTTAAACAGATGAGTTAATAAAGAACCTCCCCAAAAATATAAACCAGCATGGCCTGTTAGTTTCAAGGCACTCTAATTTATGGCTTAAAATTTTCCACTGCCCTGGGTCTGTTTCATGCAGTTGTCACTCAGTGGTAGTCTGAAGTTTCAGGATGTTTCTGATGACCCAGCTTTTATTTTTGAACCTTAACATAAAATTGTTATTATCCACCAAGTTGCTTTGCATTTATGAAGAGGTCACTTTTATAAAGGTTTCCTTAGAGTAGATACAAACTATTTGCTTCCACCTTTTATTTTACTCAGAGATGCCAACCCGACCCATCAAAGATTCCTACAGCTGCCTTTTACAGACAGCTGCCTTTTTCTTCAGCATGCTTGACTTTGGACCCCGGCCTGCTGCCAACCCTCAACATTTTTCCTTAATCTCCATGCGCCTTGGTAGACAGAATTTCCACTGAAGGCAGAGTGGCAGTGGTGGTGTCCTGGTCCAGGTGCTGGATGCTCTCCATGATCAGCGGACCAAATCCGGGAGTCAGGCCTGGAGTGCCAGAGCTCCTAATATCGATTCCTGGTAACTCAGCGCCTCCACCCCCACTGACCTATTTTATGTTTTTCCAGTATATAAATTCTCAGGATAGCTCAGCTTCTGGAGGAATAAAGTGGTCATTTTAGAAAATGATTTCTGTGGCATTCCTTGGCCACATGAAAGTCTAACCCAGAGCTTTTTCCCAGAGGCTCTACCTGTGGTCAGTGAAAGAAAGGTTTCTCTGACCCATCTTAGATGGCTGTTACAGGGTGAACTGAATCTGGAGTGCCTCTTTCTTTCTAGAGACCCTAAAGGGAACATGCCTTGAGCAGCTCAGCCTTTGGGAAACCTCCATGGGTCAGATAAGATCCACCTCAAGTCTGTATCCATGTCTCACCTGCTGTTTTCTAAAACAGTTGCATTTGGAAGGTATATACTAAGATATATACCATCAAGAACAGTGGCATGTCTAATAATTTCTCCTAAAGTTATTATTTCTGTGGGAAAAACCTCAAAATAATCCTCCAAGGCCCTACTGTAGTTCATTCTGTGGTTTACTGCTGCAAAGCCTCTTTCTAACATAGCAGGTGCCCATGAATGTGGAGTGCACCACTATCATATTAATAAAATGGAACTGCCCAAGCATATTTCCTCCAAGCTTCCAAAAAGATCTCAAAAGCAATTCCTCTCTTGAAGAACCTCAAATTGTCCATTTGTCAGTATTTCAAAAAATATCCACAGAAGTGAGTATGATGCTTAGAGCTTGCAAATAACTTTATGGAGGCTGAGGTAATTTTTTCCAGGATCACTCTTCACATTAATTACTTAAGAAAAATGAACATTCAAAGTTATTAGGTCCAGGAACAACTTCATAATATCAGTGGCTGCAAAATGAAAAACGTTCAGGCTGGCACATTTGTTCAATCCATGGTGGTAAGCAGGGACTCCACTGCTGTTTTATGTGAATTCTGATGAAAGCAATTTATCTTGCTTCCACCATCCTTGAGCCATCATTTATGAACCGGTCTTAAGATCTTGCACATGAAGAAGAACAAGTCACATAGGTACTGAGAACCCATCTCTGATTTGTGTCAGGAAATCAGCATCCAGAAAACAAGCTTATTAACAACCATTAGAAATGTCATCTAGCAACAGCCACCCATTCCATACTCCTCTCCCAAAATGTGCAAATGCCCTGGGTGAAGAGCCCTGGGCTTATGTTGTGCTGAGCAGCTGGTAGAGGTGCCTGGTTCCGCCAGCCATTGCTGCTCTCCTACTAAGGAACAGGACATCACCAGGTCTTCAGTTCACCTGTGCCCGTTCAGCGGTGCCCAGTGCTGTACTGTTGTTTGGCCTGCAATGAGCTTGAGATTTCTGGGTGGTTTTTTTTCCCTAGGGATGTGTCTCAATATATCATGAAAACAAAGGCTGTGGCTGGCACCACTGTGAGCAGACTTAGCAGAGGCAATGCAACATCCCCCTGCCTGCCTGTGGGAAAAAGGGCAGGGCTACCTTCATGCCATCACTTGAATCCTGGTGATGTGACTCACTCTTGGTACAAACGAAGTGCCACTGGGCTGATTTCACAGCAGCTGAGCTGTTTCACCCTGACAGGAGATCCAGGGCAAGAGGATTACAGGTGAATATGTAGGTCTGCTGATGCTGCTCTTTGCAGCTACGAAAGCTGAGCTGCCACCCCAACCTTCTTCTTCCACACCAGGCAGATCAGAGGCACCATACACACGGGCAGGAGAAACTTGCACAGTCAGAAGTTTTTTTATTATCCCACCCTGCCAATCTGGCACTTTCCAAGGACACTATTTTCTTTTCCCCCTTAAGGAAAATACCATGACTGTTTTGCAAATGGGATGGCTATTTTAACTTGTTAGCATGATTTATATTCCATTCCCCGCTGGCTGCTGTCGAGATTGGCCCAGTCCAATCCACTACACATTTCTGATTTAGTACCGTCCTCATGACCCCTCAGTAACTCAGCACAGGAGGCAGGATGTTATCAGAAAGCTGGAGTAATGCATAGCTGCACCTGAGCACAGCCAGGGCAAGCCACATGCTGCTATTTTGGGAAGCTCTTATACCTTGTATTTTTCCTTTTCAAATCCACTCATATTGCTGCTTAAAATACAGAATCTCTTAAGAAAAAAAAAAAAAAAAGACTGTTCTGTTCGCCTTGGCAGTGTAATTATGGAGGAGGGAAAATGTGGACATTATCACAGGGAGTCTTTGTGGAGGCAGAAGATGAGAGGAGTTTACTTGTTGGTGCAATGCCAGGAAACTGATGGTTAGGCAGTGGGGCAATGCGGTCACCTGGGAGAAAGAGATCCCTCACCCTTCTCCATCTTTACACAGACTCACTGGCTAGCAGTCTCTTTGTAGTTGTACTGCATGCAAAATCAGTAACAAGGCACCTGATGTCATTAACAAAGGATTTGCTCCAAATTCTTGAAAGGGTATCAGTTTTCATCAAAAATTAACACCTACCTTGTAATAGCTGAGGACTAGCCCTGTCTAACGGGCACTGGGGCTCAGAAGAAAGTGTTGTTCCTGGTACCTACAGGGGATGGGCTATTTCAGTGTTGTCCTTTTCATTCCTGGAATCTATTTTGTCTTCAAAACTGTCTGACACTTTTGGGACCATTTTATGGAGTGAACTTTTCAACTAGTTCAGCTGATAAACCAATGCCGATACCATAAGCCAATAAAAGGGAAAAAAAGAACAACAACATAACAAATGCAAAACAGGAAGGTCAAGATTGTCAAGAAGGAGCTGAAAGAGACATAACCGTAGCAATAAATTAGAAGTATCAAGCTCTGACTACTAGAATCAGTAAGTGTCTCTGAGTCATAAACCCAGAGCTTTCCCTCAAAAACAGTGAGTATAAGGACATCCTACCAAAGGCTGCCATTCTGAAGGGATTTTAGCCAACTCATTGGCTTGAAGCTTATTTTTATGGGCTTGTTCATCTGAATTTATGGACAGGTTATAATACAAATGTACCCATTGGAATCCAATTTACTTCAAAATAAAATCTTCAGCAGTGAAACTACTCACAATTAAAGGGGTTGGTTATTCATGATGCAGGGTCTGAGGAAACCCAGCGCAGAATTTATGTAACCTCATTGTAGAAGGGAAGTGGGGAAAGTCCCAGAGCTCAGCCAGTCATGATAATGGCTTTTTAGTGAAAAAAGGACCTAACTTAGTTCAAGTAGAATAGGAAAATCAGAATCCAAAGTAAACTGTATTCCCAGTGGTATCTAAACATGCGCTTTCCTAAAAGTAGATATTAAGAGTAGTTCTGGGAAAGAAGAGGAAGAAAGTAGAATTTCTCTGAGGTGGTTGTATTTCATCAAGCCTGCATTTGTTTGTCCAAAAAAAAAAGAAAAGTCATTAGCTTTGTTTACTTAAAATTAAGTGCAGTGAAGAAGTCTTACTGGAAAATTAGCATTGCAGAAGTCCACCCTGTCACTCTCATTTTTGAAGAATAATGTCTAACAATCTAATTTGATTTTTAACACACTCTTTTTAAGTCACGCACAGCTTCCAGGACTGCCCTTTCCATATCTAGGTGTATTTATTCCTAGTGGACTCTTAGATGAATATTCCTGGGGACTGAACATATTTTGGACCCAAATATTTAAAGGTTGCTTCTGAATCTTGGTGACTGAGTTTTATCTTGACTTGAAATAGTTTGGATTTGATTTTTAACAAGTTGCGAAAAACGTCACAAAGCCAGCTGGACTCAGCACATTGATCTAGCACATGTGAAAACAGTATCCTGCAATATCTCAAATTCATCACCAAGATACTAAGACACCAGAAGTCACAGCAAGATTTTGTTCACAAATATCTATCACCAGATGAGACTTTAAGTGTTTACATCTTTGCTGCTTCAGTACACCCCACCTTGTGCTGGTCTATGGTGGGAAGTTTGGCATAAAGGTGAAAGAGCAGTTTTTCAGCTCAGCTAGCCCAGTTTTCCAGCTCAGCTAGGTGTCTACTATGATAATGGGGATTTTGTGTCATGCACCTTGAGTAAGAACTGCCATCTTGTTATACATAGTATACACCCAAAACTTGTCTCATCATAACAGGTAAAGACTTCTTGGGCAATGTCAAAATAAACTGACTTGGAACAAGACATATTTGGACTCCAACAACTAAATCTATGAATTACCAAGTATTTAGACTTTTTCTCAGACCTACTCCTGGGTTAATATGCATAGCCACTGTATTTTTCAGAAAATTGAGGATTTTTTCAGCTGTATGTTCATTGTGTCTCATATGCTGGATATATGTGTGCCAACCTGGAACAGCCATGGGCTCTGCAGATCAATCATGTTTCACTTGCAAGTTACCAATCATCTTTGAATCTCTTTTTGGTTTTTGGCTCTTTCAGAACTGGAGAAGGGCTTTACAGTTTAAAACTTTCTGTGCATTTATAGAAATTTAGGCATATAAAATTGGCTTCTGAAAAAGCTCTAAATAATCTTTCCAGGCTAGTCAGCATGTCAGTAAGTCTTCACTGTGCCAGAAAGTGTTTTTATCCCCTGAACCCCTGTGATGCAACTACACTGAACTGTCAGTAGCTTTCTGGTTTGTACGCTGTAGGCTTAAATTACTTAACTGAAAATTAATGCAGATGAAACTCTTCCAGTCTGCACCCCAAGACCCAGCACAGGCAGTTACGGGATGCAGGCCACTGCCCTTCTGCCCAAAGCCCAAGACAAGTGAAATTCTGTCTCTCTCTTACTTACTTTTGGGTGGAGAGGAAGAGGATGCTGCTCTAGGAGAGGGAGCAGGAGAGACTGCTCTACTTGTACAAGCCGGGAAGTCACTTCTACTATTCGGGACATCTTGCTGCGCAGAGCCTTCTCTCGAAGCGTCTCACACCTTGCCAGCCTTGGCCAGGCCAGCCTCTCTGGCCTGGGCTCACCTGGCCTGAGAGGAGTTAGGTCGCCACTCCCTTCTTCCTTAGGGCTTTTCCCTGGAGCTTTTCTCTCTTCCTCCAGCTGCTGAGCCCCACCAGGCTCTGACAACTCCATCACTGCTCTTGGGATGTGCCAATATGTGCCAGACCTGCTGGCACTGAAGGTTTGGGTGTGGGAAGGTTGTGGGGGACTGTGGGGAGAATGGGGTGCTGCAGCATCCTGGAGAGTGCAGAGGGCCTCTGCCTGGTGCCTGATGGACACAAGCAGAGCAGATGGCCTGGCCATCAGCCTTCCCACCTCCCTTCCCACTCCAGACTTGGGTGCAGCTTTTAAAACCTGGACTGGCTCCTTCCCTCCCTCTTCCTTCTTATCTCTGACCCCTGTTGGGTGGCCGTCCGCCCGACCTGCTTCTCCACCCCACCAGTGCTGGCTCTGCTCGGATGGGTGGGTGAGTGCAGAGCTTGGGGCTGCCACGCCTTTTGCACCAACCAGCGTAAATCCTCCCATGATCCCTGCTGGGAGCAGGCTTGACCATTCAAGAGAGTGGGGTGCGCATGGAGTCAGCCCTCTGGAGGCTGCCTTATGCAGCTCAGTGCTGAAGGAGTTTACAACATGTTTCAATGTGTAATTTAAAAGGAGAGCAATGGCCAGGAGTGAAACATTTTATTCCAGACTCCTCCTGTTTCCAGGGGTGTCTGGTGCAGATCTGGTTGATGCTCCTGCATCCCATGCCAGGTGCCTCCCAGTGACACCAACACCAAGAGGCAGAGGCCCCCTGGAAACACCCAGCCAGGTCTGGCCATCAGGATTTCCACCAAAAAGCTATGGCTACTGCTAAGTCAAAACTTCTCAGCCTACCCTCAGGTTTATTACTAGTATTATTATTATTATTATTCACAACTCCAAAATGCATCAAATGCATCTAGACCTGCCAAGCTGATAGTACTGTATTTGGAGCATGAAAAGAAGTAAAAAAAATCTCAACTAGGAAAACAGTGTGTTGGAAACGGGAAGGCTGAATGAGCCCCACCTGAAATAACTCCAAAAAAAGGCATTTCTGGCTTTGGCAAGTCAGCCAGAAGGATCCTATATGTTTTTGAATATGGTTCCCAAAGGATTTAAGACTGTAAGATTTGATGCTAAACCTATTTCTGTGCTGTGAAACCAGGGACAGCTGTACAAATATTTGCTGTTTTTAATTAAACCTAACATTGCTACTTCCTTCATTTAAGTTAGGTCAAAGGACTGGCAATTTAATGCTTTGATAGATGAAGAAAAACAGTTGTGGGTGTTGTGTTTTAGAAATATGTTATAAAATAAGAAGTCTGAGGGAAAAGTCCTCAGAAGCTATAATAGCTCTACCCTTGTGCTTTCTTCTCAGAGATGTTTTCCTTGTCAAGTATTTTGCCTTATCCATATAGCAGCTGTTTCTACCGTAATTCTGCTCACTATTTTTCCTTGAGAGACTTTGAACTAAACTTTCCATTTGCTCCTTAGTTAAACTTTAGGTAGTGTTCTCTCACCATTGTGTTCTTTATAAATATAGATAAATCTGCGTTTTTAGGGGGAAATGAGGAGACACGTGCCTGGTCCCGCTCTCTTTGGACCCCTCTACATTGCCTCAGTTGTTAGGCAGAACATCTCACAGCAAGTCCCTGTGGAGAAATGATGGTCTTTCTCCTGCTCCTCAAAGCAGGGATTTATCTTTGCAATCTCTTCCAAAATCAAATGTATCAATCCCTTCTCACTGCTAGAGATAAACCATCAACTCAAAGACCTGTTTCTTGGCCACACAGCAAAGACAAAAGAGTACTAAGCTCAGACTAGAAGGAGGAACCTCTCCTTTCAGTTCCAAGGCTGGTGTCATATTTAACCTGGGGCAAGTTTCTCACTCTGCCACTGTTGGAAATTAAGATAATGCTGACTCCAACGGTACTGTGTTTTCAGACCTGTACAGTAAAAGAGCTGGGTATTAAAGTTCTTCAGGCTTTCAAAGGAAGGCAAAGAGGACATGGAATCAAGCACAAATTTTCCCCAAATTGTCTTTGTCAAAAAATCTGGATTCATGAGCATACACTATTGGAGAATGTCCATTTTCATAATTTTTTGTTTAAAAAACAGGAAAAAATGTTTAGAAGGACAGAATAATGCATTCAAAAACTCAGGCGCAAATTTTAAAGTTTGATTTTTTTTAGTGCAATGTTTTCCAGTTTGCTTTTAAGTCAAGGTACAGAGAAAAGACACCAAAGAAGAGTAAGATAAGTGTTTTGCTTGTGTTGACCCACATTTTGTGTTTTGGCTTGCTTTAGATTTTAATTTACAAAAATCTAGTGAAACTCCAAATTTTCATTCTCAGTGACAAAATTCAGATTTTCTGTAGAAAATCTATCCTGGGTTCAGCACTAGCAGTCAGTTTTTCTCCTTGGTAGCTGGTGTAGTGCTGTGCTTTTGACTTTCAGCCTGGGAACAGCGCTGATAACACCGATGTTTTTAGTTGCTGCTCAGATGTTTGGTCTGACCAAGGACTTTGTGAGTCTCATGCTCTGCCAGGGAGGAGGGGAAGCCAGGAGAAAGCAGAGACAGGACACCTGACCCAGGCTAGCCAAAGAGGTATTCCATACCACAGCATGTCATGCCTGGGGAGGTAACTGGGTGTTACCTGGAAGGGCACAAGTTCTTCTGGGTCGGCCTCGTTCCGGTGGGTGGTATCGTATTCTCTTCCCTTGTTATTTTCTCTTATCATTATTATCATTGGTGGTAGCAGTAGTGATTTGAGTTATACATTAGTTATTGTACTGTTCTTATCTCAACCCGTGGGAGTTACATTCTTTCGATTCTCCTCCCATCCCTCCAGGAGCAGGGAAGGGCAGGTGCGGGGGGGGTTTGGAGGAAAGAAAGAGGGAGGAAGTGGGGAGAGTAAGTGAACGAGCTGTCTGGCTGAGTTTAAACCACGACAAAAACAAAACATACCACCATTTCTTCCCCTTTGGTACATATAATTCTTCTTCTACCTAGTTTGTTATTTCTTCTTTAAAAGTCACATCTCTCACTGTGCTAAGTGAAATTATTAATATTATAGGGTTTGAAGATCTTCAGCATGTTCTCAGTAAAGCTCTTTCTTTGCTATTAGTAGCAATTTTAATATTATATTACTACTACCAGCAGTTTTATTGTTGCTGGTCTTGTGATGCTGAGCACTAGCACTGAAATGGAAAGAAAAGAGCTTTTTTTTTACCACAAAGGTGTAAACCTAATCCATCAGTTCATGGATATCCATCAGCAGAATGTTCTTCCCATAGCAGATGACCAGAGTAACCTGGCATCAGTGCAAGACCCATGCTAGACACTCAAACCAGATGGCAAATGACTTAAAATTGCAGAGAAGTGGGTACAGGAATGTGGAGAACATACAGATTTGCAGTTTATCAGCTTGCTCACTTTTTAAATGCTAGAAATACGGTCTTCGTAGGTGGTCTGAAGTTTTGGGGTGGATTAACATTTTATAAAAATTCTTCTATGCAAAAACATACAAACCTGCAAAACCACTAACAAACTTTTATCAGGAATTTTCTTAGAAAAATGTTATCCATGGACAATTGCAAAAATGAGAAGTGGAAGTCTGTTTTTATTTCCAACATCTGTCTCCCTATCAGCTCATTGTTTGTGTGTGTACCATGAGTAGCCCTGAAGATATTGAGTCACTGGTCAAGTAAAGAGTAAAAGAAGGATCACCTGCTACAAGCTCAGGAGTGTTGCATCCCAAATAGAAGGAAGTGCAGCATGAGGGCCAGGAGACCTCCTTGGATAGATAAGGAGCTGCTGAGGAGAATTCAAATGAAAAAAAGAGGCTTATAAGAGGTGGAACCAAGGACAGGCAGCCTGGGAAGAGTACAGGGATGTTGCCCAGGAAGCTAGGGACCAGGTTAGGAAAGTTAAGGCCCAGTTAGAATTAAACTTGGCTAGGGGTGTTAAGGATAACAGGAAGGGATTCCATAGGTATGTAGCGAATAAAACACAGACTAGGGACAATGTAGGCCCCCTCTGGAAGCTATTGGGAGAACTAGCTACACAGGATTTGGAGAAGGCTGAGGTTCTGAATGACTTCTTTGCCTAGGTCTTCACTGGCAAAGGCTCTGACCGCACCACCCAAATGTTGGAAGGCAGATGCAGGGACTGTGAGAATGAAGACCTTAGGCCCACTGTAGGAGAGGATCTGTGAGGTGGGCTGATGCCAACCCCATGAAGTTTAACCATGCCAAGTGCAAGGTCCTACACCTGGGCCAGAGCAATCCCAGGCACAGCTACAGGTTGGGCAGAGAAGAGATTCAGAGCAGCCCTGCAGAGAAGGACTTGGGGGTGTTGGTCGATGAGAAAATGAACATGAGCTGGCTTCAGTGTGCGCTTGCAGCCCAGAAAGCCAACCATAACCTGGGCTGCATCAAAAAGAGAGTGACCAGCAGGTCGAAGGAGGTGATCCTGCCCCTCTACTCTACTCTCGTGCGACCTCTCTTGGAGTGTTGTATGCAGTTCTGGTGTCCACAATATAAAAAGGACATGCAACTGTTGGAACAAGTCCAGAGGAGGGCCACGAAGATGATCAGGGGACTGGAGTAACTCCCATATGAAGATAGGCTGAGAAAGTTGGGTCTGTTCAGCCTGGAGAAGAGAAGGCTGTGTGGAGACCTCATAGCAGCCTTCCAGTATCTGAAGGGGGCCTATAGGGATGCTGGGGATGGACTCTTCATTAGGAACTGTAGTGATAGGACAAGGGGTAATGGGTTAAAACTTAAACAGGGGAAGTTTAGATTGGATATAAAGAAGAAATTCTTTTCTGTTAGGGTGGTGAGGCACTGGAATGGGTTGCCCAGGGAGGCTGTGAATGCTCCATCCCTGGCAGTGTTAAAGGCCAGGTTGGATGAAGCCTTGGGTGATATGGTTTAGAGTGAGGTGTCCCTGCCCATGGCAGGGGGGGTTGGAACTAGACGATCTTAAGGTCCTTTCCAACCCTAACTATTCTATGATTCTAAGAGGAGATACATCATGACTTCATGCTAAAAAGATCATATGTTGTGACACCTACCTTTGCTAGAGCTAGTGACTCTCACCTAATAACTTAAACCATGGCAGAATGGGTCTGTTAACTGTTTTTAACAGGGTTCTAGTGTGTATCCATAAATCCATAGGTTCTCTTCCTGACACTGCTGCTATCCCATTTGCTTTGCCAAGTGTGTCTGAAGGGGCAGAACGGATACAGAAGCTTCTGCCCCCCAATCCAGGATGTGTAAGAAAAAGCAGAGTTCATCCTTACCCTACTTTTGTTATAATTGAATGTACTTTTACAGTCAGTGAGTTTTTCTGAATGAGTTAACCATCCTTTCAGGGGAAAAAAAAAAAAAAAAAAGGGAAAGATGAATAGCTGCTTATTTTAATCTGGCAGCACTTTGAGAAAATACAGCATTTTTTCTGTCTCACGTAGCTCAAGGCTAAAAACCCAAAGAGCAAGAAAATTCCTCTCTCCCCACACTTCAAAAATGAAAGTCAAAATTTTGTGAGATTCAGCACAATCCATGGGATTTATGTTGCACCTGTTGAATTCTCACAAGAAATATCAATTAAAATATTGTGACTGTGGAAGGAATAGAGGAAATCTGCGGGGAGACTGGAGCTCCGTGGCTTTTCTGCACCTGCAGCAGTCTGCTGTGCCGGCTCTGTGGCTCTCAGTAAGGAGGGGCTGCCGGGCTGGTGCCATGTGCAACTCCATCTCCATCTGTGCAGGAGGAGAAGTCCATTTCCCCCATCTGCACCATGCTCCCT